GAGTGTCTGTCATGTTTAATCCATCTCGAGAAAGCAGACACCTCCTAGCAGGCAGCTCGATGGGTTGTTTAGTAATACAGAGCTTCCAGAAGGCAAAATTTCATTTTCACCTCTCCGAAGTGTGGAAAGGTCCTGGGTGCCCGTGCATTAGATCTTMAGAATGTCCCATCAAAACACAAGCTGCTGGAAAGGTTGTTGCCTTTTAGGAGAAATGTCTGACTGAAATCAGCAGGGTCTCTGCTCTCTCCTGTGAGGGAGGAGATGAATGAAAGCAGGCAGCAGGCTCCAAGACTGCTTTCCCCAGAAAGAAACCCAAAACTTTCCTTCCCAGTGCACTGCAGCCTTGTTTGCACTTAAATAGAAAACTGCAAAAGAGCTAAAAGGTGAATGATGCCAAGCCAGGCTGTCTCTGAGTTTTAACCATCAAAAAGCTTCAGCAGCAGCAGCAGCAGCAGCATCACGAAATGTCCAAGCCAGAATGACTGAAGTGGATCCAGAGCTGCCTACAAACTCCAGCCCTTCTGGGAGCTCCCCTCGCTGCTGCAAATTTCACTCTGGGTATTTTTTCCTGCCCTTGCTCAAACACTCAGTTTGATTTCCAGCCCACACAACTCACTTGTCCTCTTCAGGGCTCGCAGTTCCTCTGCTCACACTGGAAGGCAGCACAGCCAGCAGAAGAGTTTTGACTGCAGCAGTTTATTAACTCAACATCCTAATTAACTGATTCACCCTTTTATTGTCTCACATCTCTGCTGTCACTGGGCCTGCTGTGCTCTAACAATGCTTTAAAATCCTAACTTGTTTTGCCTCTCCCGGCTTTTAAACACCCTTGCATGYCCATCTGCAGCTTCCTGTAGGGATACACATGCAAAAACAAATAAAAATGCTTCTTGCAGACTCTTTCTTCTGAACACAGCCCCCAAAAGGTGGCTCCCTTACATTTCTAAAGCTCCAACCCAAGCTATGACCCCATAAATACAGCTACAGATAGATAACACCAGTAATGGCAATCAGAGACCAGGGAAAGGAGGGGTGAAAAAGGGAACAGCTCAAATAATATTTTCTGAAAGACGACCCTAAATGTTATTAACCTGATTCTCCCCTGCCATCAAAATTACACCAAGGGATCTCYGGTTCAATGAGATTCAGACCATGAAAGACCAACAAAATCCTTTCTGTTAACAAGCCCATAAACTAATGGCACTTGAAAAACTCAGCACACCAGGCTTTATGACCCGCAGTGAAGCAGATWAGAAGTAATACAAGGGCAAAGAGAATGCCCTAAAACCTCATCTTTAGCTACAAAGAGYGTTCCTGTGCTGAGCAGGTTTTGGTTTGCAGCTCAGCACCCTCTTCTGCATCTCCAGAGGCATTTGTGGTCCAGCAGCATGCTTCCATAACATCAGAAATAAAATAAACCTTTTTGTCATTTCAACCAAGGCTGAGTTGTGTTCTGGCTCCATCCAGAAATCTAGATGTTCCTCAAGCTGCTCTGCTGCTTTCCAGAGACATTTGGAAGTTGTGTGGGTGTTAGCACTGGATGAGTGCTGATTCCAGGGGGAGTTAGTACACGTCCTGAATGGAGAAATTATGCTTTGTATATACCCAAGGCTGGCAGGAAAAGGTCCCCAGGATCTCAGGTGAAAGGATTCCTAATTAATCTGAGGGGAAGGGTAGCATTCAGCATCCTCTAAGGGCTGCCACGAAAACATCATCACATCAATCATTCATTCACAGGCTCAGCAGTCCCTTCCTTCCTTCCTGCATGCAAAGGGAGGGTTGGAGGGACAAGTTTAATTCCAGAAACCAACTCTGAGACTCAAAATCAGRCTCCACTCCCTCTCAAGCATTTCTTAGACTCCCAGATTTCTGCTTGCTGAATTTCTGCACTCACCTGGACCTCCCTTCCCTTTGCACAGGCCACCCTGCAGCCTTGTGGGGCACATTCACTCCTCACTGCCATCCTGAGTCCACCTGACAATGAGATAAAAATGCCCATCCCCTTTGCTCTCCCACCTCTCAGCAGAAATATTCCCAACTTGCTGCATAATGAGACCATTTTTATTCTTTCTGGCCATCTCCTAAAGGTGAAAATRGAACCTCTGCTGAGCATCTGCTTTCCAGCCTCAAGGCTTTTAATAAAAAACCTACAATTCCTTTATTTCAGGCCAGAGAGGTGACTAATGGACTAAACAGGCTGAGAGATGGAGGACTGGCTCTGCAGAAAAGCACAGGGGCAGGCAGCAGGAGCAGATGTCCACGACAGCTAGCCATTCCCTCGGACCCCAGGCAGGGAGCAAACTCCCCCAAGCTGCACTTTGTTCTCCTCCAGCAGCTCTTTCACACCTGCAAGGCCACTCAAAACACCCTATTTCCACAGCTACCCTTCAGCTTTATGGATTTTTTCACTCTTAAAATAAGGATTCTCCTACAGGGAAGTCTGAAATCTGAAAAATCCAGGCTGGAGCTCTGCTCAGAGGTGCTGGAACAGGAACAGACTCAGCACCCTGAGGTGCTCCCAGCCCCAGGATGAGTTCAGCTCCTTCCCATCCCCTGCTGGAAGGGAAAAAACAAATTTAAAAAAGAGCAGACACAAAGCCARTTTTAAAACCAATGCTGGCCTCGAGCTAACAGGAAAAAAAAAAAGGCACCATTAGCTTTGATTTTTAAATATGTTCGTTATTCTCTCAAAGGCTGGATCGATGGRAAAAGGGAACTGAGCGATGGATAAACCTTTAATTGCTTAGAAATTGGATTCACCCTCACACTGCCTGGCCAGAGCATGGCCTTCTGCTGCACCCATGTCCCAGCCAGCCACTCTAAAGTATTTTTCTGGTGGTGTCTGGATTTGCAAGAGGCATCTGTGAAAAGTTCCAGAAGGTTTATGAGYGCTTGTGTTTCAAAATAGAACAAAACACTGGATTTCAGAATTTCCACGGAAGTGTAACGTTAAGCAGAAAATACTGCTTGAAGGCAATCAAAACATTTCATTTTGATAAAAGCCCAAATACTCCAATTTATTTTGTATGCTGAGAGAATTCAAGCTACAGTTTCCCAAAGAAAWCTCTAAATGCTCCCATTTCAACAAGATACTGCAAGCTCATCAGCTTTTGTTCGAATGAAACAGCACTGAAATTGAGATATTCCCACAAAAACTCATAATTTGGAGGAAATTACTTTTTTTTTTCCCCCCTCACAGGGAATATTCTGTCTGTTTGGTTTTGCATTTGGCCTGCATAGCCAAAGGCATTTGCGTGGAAGGACACGTTATTTGTCACAGGAGTGGCAGGAAAACAGAAACAAGGGATAAACACCCAAATTTGCTCTGCCATGAACAACGTGGGATCTGTGCCTCTTCTCTGGGTGGCTGAGCCAGGCTCCTCAAAGGTTTGTGGAACAGAGTTTCACAATTCTGATGATGTTTTCAATCCTTCTGATGTTCCTCAACCRATCCTCCACTCTGCTCTTTGCATTCACACCCACAGACAGGGCTGCTGCCAGCACAGGGAACACCCCAACACCAAACCCAAAAAAGCTCCAAAAGAGCCCTCTGGACACTCAGCCAGCTCAGGAGCACTCAGGTCACCTACAGCWTCATGAGCTGAGCAAATTTGGTGCAGAGACACGTCCTTCTGCTGAGCACATTGCCTGGAACACCAAAACCTTCTCCACTTGGAGCTCCCCAAAATTCATCAGCACACACTGCCTTAGGATGGGAAAGCTTCCAACATCACTGCCTCGCTGGGTGGGCACCAGAACATCCAAACTCAGCCAGGATCCTGGGACAGCAAGGAGGAGAAGGATCAGAGAAGGCTGAAGGAGGCAGGGAAAGTGGTGCTGGTGGTTTTTGAGTCCTTTGTAATTAAAGCAGCGCTCTCAGCACGGCCCTGGTGCTAATTAGGGAGGGCTGAGCACTGACACATTAACCTCCCCGTCTCAAAACATTAACTTTACCTGGTGTAATATCTTCTAGGTGACATAAAGGTTAATAATCGGCGTCCACAACAGAATTGAGCTCGGTAAATACCCAATTAACCGGATTCTGTCAGAGGTAACAGCAAAAATGAAAGGTCTGGGATGGCTGAAGGGAAGCCCTGAAATGCTGGGGGACAGGGGGGACCTGCCAGGAATGAGCAGAGCAAGCAGGAATGATGCCTTCAGAGGGAGCTTCCAGAGCCTTCACCAGCACCAGGAGCTGGGCTGAGGGAAAGCAACCAAGTGAAATAAATGAAAGATTCTTCGCTGTCAATGTTTAACAAAGCATTTTTTTCTCAGCCCTCCTCCTTCATTCCTCCTGAACTATTCTCCAAAGCTCCTGTTGTCAGAAAGTGAATTCAAAGCAACAGTGGTTGGATTCAACTTCTGTACAGTAAATGATTTTTTTGACTTTATTTTTTTTTTGTTTTTCTGACTTTTAATCTTTGTTTTGCTCACAGCCTTTCAGAAGAGGGAGTTGAAACAGGGAAGGATAAAAAAMGGAACAAACAAGGAATAACTGAATATTCAACTCAGCTGGAATGCAATTGCCTCTTTTAGCATAATTTTGTAGAAGCTCAGGAGAAAACAACTCTTCATACGGCAGATTTGAAAACGTTTAAAAATAATGGGTCAAAGAGGTGCTTACTTTTATTCTGACCAGTCTGGTGAGTTGTGAATGCTCAGGAATGTGTTTATTTATTTATTTTTTTTTATAAAATAAATGATCTGATCCCATGGCCATGGGAGCACTGATGGAGATGCAGAAGCTGCTGCAGCTGCAGGGGCTCAGGGTGCATGGAAGGGCTCAGACACTTCACTCAGCTGTTGCTATTTCTGCTAAAAGCTTTGGTTTTTTTTATTCCTCCACAGCTGAACTGACACAAAGAGTGTGAGACACATTCATCACCACCGACACATGCAGCACTTTCCTGCTCAAATCATGTTCTCTGAGCTCCTCCTCATTTTAGTGTCTTCCAGCTGTTCAAGTTCCTCYGTTCTGCAGGAATCGAGGATAACCTCGTTCTCTCTTTCCTTTCTCCATTAATTARATTTCATCTTGCCCTTCCCCAAAACCTGCCTTCCTTTCTGTCACAGTCACTGCTCTGAAGGCACTGCACATGCACAGAACACGTTCATCCCCACTGCCATTTCTAGCAAACTTTCAACATTAGAACCTCCAACCTGAACTCTCAACCCTGCTTTTACTGAGACTGAAAACTTTCTGGGACAGTCAGAGCACCAGCAAACCTGGGAGAACCAAAGAGATCATCCAGTGAGACAGCAGAAGAATGAAAATAGTGTTTTTAATATCATTTACAGCAAACTTACAGTATGTATTTCACATCACATATTTCTAAACTGCTCATCTGGAAAATATAAGCTGCAAAAATACAGAACACAGTACTCAAAATATATCGAGCATGTGGCTTCTCTTTTTTTTTTTTTTTTTTTTAAGTCAATTGTACAGTGAAACATTTCCAAACCAGGTTTTGGTTTATTTTGGAAGTGCTGCTAAACATCTGAAAAATCACCAGCAGTCAAACCAGCACAGTTGAAAGACCTTTCTGAGGGACCACCTTCCCTTGGGCACTGCAGAACAGTAACCCCCAGCCYGAGGCAGGGGAAGGTGGGTTCATCCAGGCCCTACAGACTGATTGTGGAGAAGTTCTGTGCAGAAAAAAACCTTCTCCAGAGCTCTGCAGGTGAGCTTTGAGCCACAGGTGTGACAAACTCCTGTCCTCCAACAAGAGAATCACAGTGGAAGCACCCTCCATGCACTGATGGAAGAATTACACCCACACACCATTTGTCAGAGAAATCCTGAGTTTCTGGAGCCTGGAGAAACTCCCACCAACAACCATTCAAGAGCTGCATCAGGATTTGGAGGGCACGTGGCAGACCTGCCTYGTGAAAATGTGTTATTTTCTTTATTTACACCATGGAGAATGAGAAGGATGGATAAGGGAATGGGTTAAGGAACAAATTAAGTTCCTGATATTCTTATTAGCCAAAACTCCTCAATCTCTGCCAGAGACAGAGAGGAGCCAGCTGGTTACAAACAGAACTTCGTCCTCGATCTGCTTTGAATTTTAAGCTYTTGAGTTTGCTCATCTTTAGCTACCACTAAGGGCTGTCAGGGCTGGGGGATAACCAGGRGGGATTGCACAGGCAGGGCACATGCTGCTGCTCAACCCCTGCAGCAGGAAAACACACAGAGAGCTCAGCCAAACTGAAACTTGGCTTTTCTGCACCATGAGTGAGGCATGGCCCACACCAAGGTGTGATGTGCTCCCCTCCTGCCTGTGCAAACTGCCCCCACTCCTCACYTCTGATTTCAGACGCTGCTCGTGTCTCATCTGCACAGGAAAAAGGAATTTTCCAACAGCCTYGCTGCAAATACACCCCATCTGATGCCATTTATGCATTGCTCCAACTGCCCCCGTGCCTGGAATGTGATATAAGTACACACAGCAGGGAAAAAAAAAATTCTGCATTTGACTTGTATCAAAATCCTAACGAACACCACATTTATTGTACTTTATTTACACGGTAGTCACGTATAATACAATACAATACAGCGTTCCATTTGCATTGGTAGGCACTATGGGTTTKAAAAGGTCACAGCTCTTCCCCTGCTCCATCCCACCCCCTCCTCCCTACGGATCTGGCACCCAAAGTGAACCAAGAACTCCCTGAACCAAGAGTTTCCCTCCGAACCCGCTCTGGGACGGCTCCTTCCCAAAAGCAGGTGAGGGAAGCTGCTTTCATGGGCTAACTCCAAAACTTTGGTGGTCACAGAGCACTGGCAGCCCTTAGCACTTGTCAGGTGCAGCCTCCTCACCGTGAAGGCAACGTGGAGCTGCAGCCAAGCCACAGACCCCGAGCACAGGGAACAAACAGGGCACCCGTGACCACAGAGCACCGTTGGGTCCTGCTGCGCTAAAACTTCACAAAAACACCTTTGAGTCCTCAAAGAGGGATCCTCCTCCTCCTCTGATCAGGCAGGGAGGGCCTCAGGTGTAGAACAGGGGTCGTTTCTTCCTTTCAAGTTCACAGTTAGAGTTGTGAGGCACCGGAGACGTGGCACTGTTTGCACTGCGGGGTGAACGCGMTGTGTGCGTTTGTGCGATGCCGGACTGCGACACAGAACGGGGTTGGGGCTGAGAGATCCGTGGCAGGGAAAAGATTCCTCCTGCTGCCCCGCYACCAGGCAATGCAGTTGGGAAGAACTAAGATATGTCAGGCCATGTGCAACTCTCTTGATGCCCGAGAGGCTTCTGCTTCCGATCCAAGAGCTGTGCAAACATCGCAAATGAAATTCACGCCACCTGCTTCACCTCAATACCCATTTGGTTCGGTCTGGGTTCGTACCCTTCTGGCCTTTGCTCTCAGAAATTACTCAGATGAGCGAGTTAACCATAGGAACACTGGGAGAGGTTAGAATTTCAAGCATCTTTGAAAAATATTCCTGGAAAGTGGACTGAGAGTTGGGAGCCAGCACTCTGGAGCACTGYGTGGCGCTCAGCCCACTGGCACTGAGCATGGATCCTCTTACTCAATTCCTAATCGTGTATTTCTGAACTAAATATTTTTACTGATGAGAAAATTCCAGCCTAGGGGGGAGCAGAAATATCCCCTGTGAGTTTTATGTCCATCCAGAACAAACCCCTGTGTATRAATTTTAAGAAAGCTTTTCCAACTCCTCCAGACCAGATGATAAGCAGARAACACCTTGCAAATACACAAAAGGTATTGTCTTGGTTTTCTCAGTTTGGAAGGAAGAAATAAAAGGAAAAATTCATTCATGAAGTTGCTATAAATTATTTGCCAAGTTGGAGCTGACAAATTCCTTATTGCTTTCTGCCATACGCAGAGATCAACTCTGTGTAGAATCAGTCCAGCACTACAAACAGTTCAGGGTTTGACAAATCTTTTCCTTCCTAGGGTTGGACACCCTGCTGTGCCATATTTAATCAGATAAAGTCAGGGAAACATCACAAACTCATCCCATCCCAAACACCCCATGCCTGGGGTCACTCCATTCACGAAACAAATATAGATTGAAGCAAAGCTTTGACAAACAAAACAAAAATAAACACTACAAACACCCTAAAGTCCTACTCTTGAATGGATTGCTCTGTCCATGTGGCTTCTCCTGAATTCCCTTGGTCCTTTTGGGACCAAAAGATGCTCAGAGCTAAACAGCTGAAGCTGAAAGAAAAGCAGAACATGTTCACACTCTGCCACAGAAAACASCAGTATTGGTTCTGGGCAGGCAGAGCTTCCTTCTGCTCCCCTGGATTCAGAGAACACACCATGGCCAAAGATTTTACTTGGCATCACCAGTTCATAAAGAAATGCCTCATTTCTYAGAACTACTGCAAGGCCATTTTTCAGCAAAGCAATTGTATTAAGACTCAGATTGGCTAGAAATGTCAACGGAATGATAAAAAACATCATTTGCAGCCTAGAAATTTCAGATTTAGGGTATATAAGCAGAACAAACGATAACATTTTGAACAYAGATAAAACTAAGTGAGATCTGCTGGCATCCCAGGCAAATTCAAATGCCACTCAGTAACTCTGGATACCTGGTAYTGACTTGGCATAGCCAAGCTGTGTTTGCCACCAGGGAAGGAAGAACTGTGGCTGGAGAAAGGAAGCTGATGGTTAATGTGGAAGGAAAACCCACAAACCATGGGTCTGGGATACAGCAGGGTGGATAATCCTCCCAGGGACACAGAGTGGCTTGGATACAACGTCCTYTCCTCCTCRGATCAATCTCAACCATCAGAAAACSGTGGCTGRACTTGGCTCACACCAAAGCTTCCCATCTTAAGAAACTGCTGCTCATGTTCCCACTAATCCTGGTGAGAGGCACAGCAGCAGTGTGGGATGTTGGGAAAGGTGAGCCCAGGTTTAGGTAAGGAAAGCCAGAACTCCTAATTCAAACAGGAGCAGGTCACAATTATTGCTTGTAATCAGGGAAGCTCTGCCCTGTGCACAGGGAATTTGTGAGCTCTGCACATATTAATGAGATCTGGAGAGAGAACAACAAACCTGCTCCTGTCTGCAAACAGCGCTCACATGAAATTAGGGGACAGATGAGCATGGCTGTGTTTAAAGGCAGAGCAGGAGCAAGGCTGGGAACCCTTGTGAATAAAGGAACAAAGCTGTCACCACTTCAGTCCAGTGAAGATTTCCAYGTGTCTTTTACACTGACAATTCCCCACATCACCTGCTGAGAATAAAGCAAACATCACACCAAGAATTCCCAGATCTGAAGGAAAAACCAGGCCCAACACACCCAGCTGTGACAAACTCTGCCATGGCAGACTCGGGGGGCTAAAGCCTCACAGTGCTGGTTGTGGGCTGGTTGTGGAGTGAAACTGCTGGTTGTGAAATGGAGTTACCTTCCTGTGTCCCAGGACCTCATCTACTGAGAAAAAACGTGTGTCTGTCTGAGACACAAAGTGAACCTTTAACACACTGCCTCCACTGCAATGTGATGAACATAAAGCTCTGATGGGGATAGGAGGGGCTCCAAATCACATTCATTCCCTTAATTTTGATTTTTTTTTTTTTTTTTTCAAGGAAAAACAAGTCAATGCATCTCAACCATTTGGAAATACTCCAGTCACTTTCCAAATGTCTGCAGACCATCAGTTCAATTTAAAGCATTTTGAAGCATAGATAACTCAGATAATGGAAGCTAATTCCTCTCTGCATCTCTCCCTCCTCACCTCCTGAGCGAGGTGAGACCCAGCTGAGATTAACAGCAGCAGTGAGGAGTTCAGTGCATCTCACAGGGGAATGGCAGAGAGARGCCACTGTTAGCTGAACTGCCAGGAATGGAAGGTTTGTGAYATTCAAGTGATAATTCAAGTGATGSACTTTGTTGGTCCCACTCTACATCCAAGATGTGCTGGGCAAAGTCAGAAAAATGAATTGATTTCTAAATGTATTCAAAGAAGGTTCTGGAAATGCATCACTTTGTTAACAAAGATGCAGAGAAACAGATTYCAGTGTCATCTGCACCAGTTTTAGACTGGGGTCCCCTTTTGATTCCACTAGGGCTATGCCAAAGCGGGATCTGTGCCAGGGAAAGGAAACCCCAATCTCAAGTCATGCAAGGCAACTGGTCAATCCCAGAGACTGCTGAATCTCAGGCAGATTATTCCTCCAGACATCCCATTCCTTAGCAGACAGCCACAGTGCTTGGAAATGCCACAACAACATTTCTGCTGAGACCGAGGCCTCAACAAACCCCTGCATCTCAATGCCCTTGAACACGAAGAAACAATTTCCACCACTGCATCTGGACTGCACAGCTCAGACCACACCATGTTTCTGTTCCTGGGCATTTTTCCAACTYCATCCTTGTTTTTAAGTTCCCTGCATGGTTAAGGCAGTTGCGGGATGGAGGTGAAGTGCTGACAGGTGAAGGCCCACAATGCAGTTTGGGAAGCAGGAGGATGTTCTGACACTCTTCATTTATTATTCTGTAACAAGACTTGGGTTGCAGGCAAAAATGGCTTGTGGTTCTGAAATCATAAAAAAACAAAATGCCTGCTGGTGTGGATGAAAACATCTGTGTGCTCGTCTGTGTGTTTGGGTCTGTGTGTTTTTAAAATAAAGTTCTGCTCTTAAATCTGTACCGAAGCACTGACAGCAAAGCCCTTCATGATGCAGGCATCAGATATAACCTTGGGGAAAAAAAAAAAAAGAGTGGGATGGGGGAAAGCTTTTCAAAAGTTCGATTATAAAAAGAAAAAAAAAATAACAATCATGCAGGAATTTCAAGTTACAGCTTAAAAATAATGTAAGTAACCTCATTCAACTGCATCTCCCATACATATTGAGAAGAGATCARTGGAAAAAATAAGGAAAAAATAAAAAWGAAAATGTAATGTGCCCTGGAATCCTGTTTCTATAGCTCCGGTCAAGTGGGACTTTTGACTGTACCAACAAATCACAGCTCATGAACACTGTGAGTTTGCTTCACATCACGTCAGCATGCTATTCTCCTTCACCTTGGACTTTCAGAGGGGAAAACCATGAAACTGTGAAAGGGGTTATGAAATTTCAAGCAATCAGGCTTTTAGAAAGGTTCTATTCTGTGACATTTGTGTTCGAGTCTGAAAGTGTGTGTATAGTATAAAATTATGAGTTAACATTTGAAAAGACAGCAGTCTAAGTAATAAATCTGCAGAATGAAGAGAACTGTACAGAATGATTTCAAAGGTTTATACTTGACAATTATATATATTTTATGAGACAGTTATGCACCYTGTGCCTTTTTTGAATTCATTGTTTTATGGATGCAGTATCTCTGTTTTAGCAGACAGGATATACCAAACCAATGTAATGGTCTAAAAAGCATCATTTACCACCCAACATAACAATGGCACTGCATAGCTTAATATTATTTTTTTCTTCCTTTAACTCCTTCATCAATCAAGTGATTCTTAACATGGCTGAAACCCAAGAATCAAATATCTGCAGTTACAATATTTGTTGAGTATTTGGCACAGTGGAGTTTTTTTGATACACCCTTCTTTCCTGCCCTTATTGTTGCTGAACATGTAATTCCAATTGTAATTGCATAAATTACAAACACACATGTAAAATCAGTCAGGTGGAAGCAGTTTTGATACCCCACACCCACGTTCCAAAGCCTGGATAACAGGAAAGTCTGCTAAAAAGGTGCTGAATTATCAACCCTTGGTAATTGTGCCAGGTTTGCAGCGTCCACTGCCAGCAATGGACAAAGACTTGGGCAAGACMAGCCCCTCTGCCACCTGCATGGAAGTGACACCCAGCAGTTGACTCAACACACCAGATTACTCCTCTAAACATCCTCRATTTCACAACAGCTTTGAAATTCAAACCAAAAAAAAAAAGGAACTTTTAGTTACAATGCTAACCCTTAAAACCCTTCTGACATTTAGTCCATTGGAAAYGAGTCTGGTTCCTGGGGAAAAACCTCATCAAATGCTGCCAATTTGTACTGCTTCCCAGCAGGAATGTTTTGGAAAACAAAAATATGCATGCAAAATAACCCCCACGCTTCTTGTAATCAGACAAAAAGTTTCCCCGTGGTTTTTGCAGGCTTAGGTAAGATGCACTGCAGGAGCCAAGCCAAATCTGCTCCTGCATGGATGCTCTGTGGGGAGCKGAATTGAAGTTTGAGTTGCTCAGAGCTGGCCAGCTCTGCTCCCATCACCCAGAGGAACACTAYTCCCACACGTCAGAGCAAAATGTGGCATCCAGGAGAGGAGGTTATTCCATCTTCCTCACACAGCTCCCACTGAAAGTCAGTGGAATGTCTCAGGTGAAAAATAAAATAGCAAATGTGAGGGTTGAAGGTTTAAGGTCAGTATTCCTCTCGTCTTGTACACGCACACACACACGCACGCACACACACGCACTTACTTTAAAGAAAACATCCACCACACAATTTCTAGATTGCAAATTATATATATATATATCTTTAAAAACTGGAGAGAACATAAACAGCCTCTCCACATATATATGTATTCACTGAGTCACATAGAATATGAAAAAAACTATATTATGTAAATCATCATATTATCTATAATTCTCCAACTGACAATTGTTTTTATAGAGACACAGTGCATTCATTCTCTTTTTTAAAAACATATTATGTGTCTTCATTGGCTTGGTAGCATATTAGAATGAAGGCGTATGGATAAAAAATGCAGAGGATTAAACAAACCCCTTGAGTCACATTATGTTTGGGTGAATTAAACAGGATCCTTCCCCAAACTAGCATAAATAAATCCTCCTCATGGAAAAGTGTCAGCGATTTAAGGGTTAACACAGATCTGAAAATAATTTTAAAAAACATCTTATTAGAGGACTACACAGATAAGTATTTGGAACTCATCCCCCTTTAAAAAATGACAGCACGTTTGGCAAAGTGTGAGCAAATGTCTCGAACTCTAGTGGGTTTGAGATCTGAGCACAGCTCTTCACAGACAGCCTGGAAGCTGCAATCTGTGAATAAGCCTGGGCTGGAAGGACTTRGATACCCCTGACAGCATCTCTCGCCACCGGGAAGGTTTCCAGCAGCTTTCACGGTATTCCTGGTGGACTCGTGGCTGGTGACAGAGTGTGACTGGTGGAAGAGCTCCAGCACCACTCCCTCTTTGCCATCGCACACAGGTGGGAGCAGCACCCAGCCTGGCCAGCCCTGCAGGGCTCCACACACCCCATCTCAAMTGGGAAAGAACCTATTGCTGTTATCTTCTCATTGTTATCACCTCTCTGTTATCACCTCACTTTTATCACCCACTTTCCCTGCCCTCCTGGCCAGGCTGTGTCGAGCTCCCAATGAACCTCTGCAGATGCCCTCACTGTCATCACAGTGACAGTGGCATCCCAGCCACAAGGGCTCCCTGCTTTCTGCAGCACCCTGCAGGATGTCACAAGTGATCCCATGAAAAGATGCTGTTCTCAACAATCCTGGTTGGGTCTGACTTTGAGAAAAAAGACAAAAGTTTCTTTCCTGTGTTGCCGTTGCTGTTTTGCAGTTGTGTTTCTTCTTTCACTYGTGCTCTCTCCTTGTTTTTTATTAAAAAGGACCCTTGTATTATTAATATAGTTCACCCCTCCACAGTCACTATAAAACAGACTCCATATTTTCACACCACTCGTGATCTTCAAGGTTATAGATAAACTTTGTCCTATGTGGTTGATTTTGGGGCACCGAGTCCCGCCCCAGATTGTCTAGGGTGAGAGTAGAGGCAAAAAACTCACTAGTGCTCAGACCACCTTCGTGGTTCTTGATGTATCTTTTATAGTTTTTCCTCAAGCACTGCCAGGTGGTGGTGTAGAGGATGAAAGCGAAGGATTTGAGGGCGATGGCGATGCTGACGTACAGGTACCTGTAGACCACGTTGTCGTAGAGAGCGCACGCTCCCTGCTCGCCGCAGAACGTGCTCCAGAACAGACACGTGGAGTCGATGCCAGCCCCGAAGATCAGCGGGGGCGGGATGAAACCTGCCAAAATCAGAGAGACAAATCGTGGTTTTATGACAGAGAGGCTGCAGCAAATGGAAAGAGGGTGCTTTATCGGGGTTAATAGTCCCAGCTGCAGCCTGTGATTCTAATTTTTAAAGTTCTAAATCAACCTAAATGAAGTCTGCGGACGAGCTTTTAGCTTGGACTTAACATATACGGAAGAGATTCCTGCTGATAGCAACATGCAGCAAGGAYTTTATTCAAGTTTAAGTGGCTTTTATTAAGCTTCTTGTTTGCCTAATGAGACTAAGTGSAGGGGTAAATGAAAGAGAGGGAGGAGGACAGCCTTGCAGCTCACTCTATTTAGACACTGAAAATTCTGCACTTTAGGATGTTCACCTGAAGGATCTCATAGCRCTCCAGTTCAGCACCTAAAATCAGTTTTGGACTGTAAAAGGCTCTTTCTGGGTCTGAGGAAAGAAACAATGGCCTCTAATAGATGTCAAAGATGCCATCTGAAAAGAAGGGAAAATTTCAGAGCGCCATTAAATGAAATATCACAGCAGGCTTCTCCCCCAGCCACCGCAGATAACTACTGATGAGTGTTTCTCAATCATAGTTTGCAGCAGAGCTGCAATCTTAAAGCAAAGCAATCACTCCAATCTCATTTAACTAATAAAGGCAATGTTTTTCCTTCTCTGCTTTCCCCCATCCTACAGGGACATTGCAGCAGCCCCCTTTCCCCATTATCCTGATGTTGAATAGGACATCCACGTTCCAGCTCCGCACGTGCACCGAGTGCGCTGCACTGGGACCAAAATGGGAACATTCCACATCATGGAACCATTCCCCCACCTTCTGCTGTATTTATGGGCAGAGGACAGAAGCAGATAAACCCTGAAAAAAATAAACCCTGATTGATAAAGTCACTGCTGTGGGTTAAGACAGTGAGCAAAGGAGAGCATTGCATCTATGGAAATCCAACAGCAGGCAGGCACAACACCCCCGTGACAGCATCAATGCATCCGTAGGTGCTGTATGCCTGAGACTCTATAAATACCTGTGCAAGCAGACACAGGGAGTGCAGTTTTTAGACAGGAAAGTGTTTAATCTTGGATCCCGTTTCATCATTAACCTGGATTTCCAGGCTTAAAAAAGATACCTCCCTCCAGCTTGTCACGAGCAAAGTAGTGACATTCGTGACATGTATCCTAAGACTACAAATAAATTGGTTGTCTTCACTGTTCCCTGTGGTAACTGARATCTCTTTATTCTATTTTGTTGATGACTGGAGCTTGGCGGATTTTGTTTGATCTTCCTTATATGTTGATAAATACAGGAATTAAGAAAGGCTATATGGGCTTTTGGTACTCATTTTAACCAGTCATTAACAGCACAAATGCAGTAAATAAAACCAGATGATAAAAAAGCAAGACAATCTGCTTATTAGAAATACTCGTTCCAGCCATCATATCTAAAAACCTGTCTATGTTCTGGAAAAAGCCATCAGCACCAGCCCTTTGTTCATCATTTCAATGAGTGGAAATTACAGGCTGGGCTGGTTCGGCTTCCAATTTAAAAGGTACTTTTTTTGTTGAAACCTGTGAACAACCACACACTCAACCTGGATTTTAAAAGCCACAGACAAGCAAGAGGCTGTGCTGCTGACTGCAGGCTGGATGGCACCTCAGGAGTTAACACCCTGATGTGGCAGTGACTGAGGAGGCATGTTCTTTTTGGAATTACAGGAAACCACATCTGGATCAYAATTTTGATGGTGTGAGCCCCTACTTGCTGACACAAAGTTTTGGAGAGGTACAGGCTGAGCTTCAGGGAGAGCTGCCATCCCCACCTGCTGGCTTCAGCTGGCCTGCCCGGTGTCCACGATCATTTCGGATGGAAAGTGCTCCTCAAAAGACTTGGGRAAGGACCTTTTTCACTTGAACTGCAAAACCACTTCCATGTCAGTGCAGGCATGGATTGGATWTGAAAAACCTTCAGAAACAGTGAGTGTTTCAGGCTGTTTACAGCAGAGGAGAGGACAAGAGACTCACAGGAGTGAGTGGTGCTTGGAAGCCCTGAMACAAGGGAGCTGAGAGGTTGCACTGCACATGAGAAACTTCTCCTGAGGGTGAAACACTGGGGGGTTTTGTCAGCTTAGAATAAGAGGCAAACAACGTAAGCTTATAGGGAAAAAAATCAAAGAAGTGCCCTGGTAGGCAGAGGCTTTTCTAGGATGCACGGTGCACAACCCCAGGAAAGGATGCATCCAGGATCTTAAAGGTCTGAAACGCTCTGCCATGCCAGACAATTCCATTCCAAACCTCTGGCTGCCATGGCACTGCTTTACTATCTTCTCTKGGAAACTGCAGCAATGCTTTTACACGAAGCAGAATTCCTCTGAAATAAGATAACACATGCAGGAGGATACCGGGAGGATTCAGTCATGTTTCATGTTATTACAGTGAATATTAAAGAGAGTCAATCATGTTTTACCTCTTGCTGCAAAGTGCTGCAAAAATTTCAGCTATAGATACGTATAGATTTGTATTTCACTGCAGAAACTGTAGAGCTGCATAAAAAAGCTGCTTCTGTCTCACTGAAATCTATTAACTACGATTGCACCTCTGGGTCTCATACCCGCTTGCATTTAATTCTCTCCTTTGGTTGAAGAAGCAGCTATTATCACTGTCTTCTTAAGTCAAAGCTTAAAGGTGAACTGAAAAGCTTTTAAAATAAATCAGTAAAGCTATTCTCAAACCCCAGGTTGATAGAGGCACAATTTGGATACCCTTGCTCATGTGGAAAAAGTATCTTTCTCTTCATTTTCTGTGTGCTCCAGCTACATTGCTGATCTGCTTCAGGATGTATTGTCTCATTTCATGGGAATCCCTTAGTGACAGAGCAACACATAAAGATTTGAGTTTAAATTCTCACTATGGTTTCTTTATTGGAATGAAAAAAAAGAAATCTGTTCAACTTAAGCATAACATGTCTGAGCCTGATTTYAGAGGAATTCAGGATGCTGCTACCTCAGGAGGCTTCTCTCTTTCGAAAGGAAGAAAGAAAAGAGAAAAATCTCTCCCCTCAAGTATTTTTCCTTTGGAAAAAACAGCCCACAGCCATCCTCTTTGCACACTTGCCTGCTGACACTCCACATTCAGCCAGTCAGAGCTGAAGACAGACCAAAACCCATGAGCAGCACCAGCAGCTAAAGAAAATGCTGTGCTTGCAAGGCTTGAACCAGAGCTGACCCAGGTCACCCCAGAAACTTCCCCTGGAGTTATCTGAGCTCTGGGCAAGGGAACTTGATGGAGCTTTTTGTATGACTGCAGTTACCTCACCAAAACCAATGAACATCTAATTGGCTTTACTGTAAACTGGTCTGGGAGCACCATTCCCCCTCAGCTAATGGGGAATGAGGGGTTAATAAAAGAAGTAAAAAAAATTAGGTCACTTATTCAAAGCAATGTGTGGTACTGCTGGATTTTTAGCCCTGTACTTCCCAGTGTTTTGTTGTAGCCTAAAAAATGGCATTTCAGTCTCCAGCTCATTCCTTTGGGACCAAGGGAGCCAGGGAGGGAAGGTGCTCTCCCTGTGTCCTGCTCAAAAAAGCAAATTCCACTCCCACAACACGCAGAAACCGTGGGCATGACATGGTCCCACACAAGGATGGATCAGAGGGTTTTGTCCTGAATCACTGAGACTAATGAGCTGAAATAGAAGAGCTTTAAAATAGGAGCCACCTCTTCCAAAGTGGAAAAAAACTGCACCCAGAAACAAGCAGCAGGCAAACAGCCTGGTGTGTTCCCTTTAATTCATCCATGGGAAGCACATACAGGCCCAGAGGTGGAGCTGTCTGTGTTTTAATGGGATATTAACCCACAGGAGGATGGATACAAGGACTCAACCCCTCTCATTTTCCTGATTTCCTTTCCCAGACACCCAAAGCAAGGGGTAAACCCACCACATAACACAGGTCCTGTCCCTCAAAGGAGGCTGAAAATCCATATCCCTCTCCTTCAGCAATATGCAACACAGCAGTAATTCTGCAAGCTGCTGACACGTTAATAACAGCTACAGGAGAGAAACTGGTTGTGTAAGACCAGGGGAGAAACAGTAATTTCTCAGGCATTTTCTTCAATTTTCTTCCATTAGCAGCACACAAATGGCAGGSAAAGTCTCGTCAGGAGCCTTGATGTGACATCCTTCATGGAGAGGGCTTGGACCCCAGCGTGTCAGACCCCACTCATGACAATGACAGCACTGCATGGAGTAGAAATCAACTTCTGCATGCTAAAAATGGGAATTTTCCATGAGGGAGGAAAGAGGAGAGACAGACATAGAGCTTTTGTACCTACCCAGCAGCCGGAGCAGCAGGAAAAGCACCCCCAGAGCGTAAGACTTGAGTTCGGGGCTCACGGTTCTGCAAGGAGGAGGGAGAAACAGAGAGAGAAATCGATTCCTGTTGCTGTGCTTTGATTAACTCACCCCGTGGCCATYCTGTGCTGTCAGCCAGGATGCCACCAGCACCTCTGCAAAAAGTCATTAATGGGGCTTTTCTTCTGCCTTCTCCTGAACTGCCTACAGCCCCAAAAGTAATTGCATCGGTGACAGGCTCAGGAATTAGCCAAGTCATTAATAACAACAGCTAATCTTGTCATTGGATGGGGAAAAATGAAATTCCCATCTCATTAAATCACTGTTTACAAGCTCCCCATCATGTTTTCAAGGCTCCAGATGCTGAGAATTGGAGGGAGAGAAAACTTTAGGTTCTGAAACTCCCCAGACTACTGGGAACAAGAGAGGGGTGAACCAAAAGGTTCAGTCACCSTGTTGGTTCAAGTGCTCAGCACCAGTTTTCAGGCATGTGATTTTAGAGTGCCACTTTTTTTTTATCTTGGGAAGACAGTGTCTTCTGCTATGAGCACAACCACTTTTGCACCAGGTGTTATCCTTAGAAGCTGCTTTAAAAAAACATTCGTGGCAGGGTGGTTCTCTGTTTAAACACACTGGAGGGGCATCAGCCAAAACTGGTAAAACAGAACCAGTGAAAGCTTTTAAATTAAGGGAAAAACCATTCTGATTACCTGCCCTCCTTTCACACATTCACACCTAACACCACACCATGACTGCTGCACGAAGCCTGTGATCTCACAATGAATTTCAGCAGTTTTCAGGCAGACCACCATGCTTTTTATATAAAGCCTTTATGCCAGGAATTACCTGACCTTGGAAAAATGTTCCCATGGTTAATGGCTTGGCTCAAATAGTATTCCACAGTTGGGTGGGAAATGGARGAAAAAGTATTAAAAGTTTACTTTAATGAAAAAATAGATTATCATGAAATATTCACAGTGGGTTTTTAACTGGTGGTGGTGTCCTTCCATCCACTTTTCTGTATTTAAGACCAAAGTCAATCCCCATACTTTAGGGAGGAGCACAGGCTGCCACTTGGAGACACCTCCTTTCCTCACTGACTACATCAGTGACTAAATGACTGGCTTAGACAAGACATTTAATTTGTAGACACTGAGTCCGTTTTTMAATAAACATGAGAGCTGCCAGTGTCCCTTGTCACTGCTCTGGACACCAAGGACACACTCACACTCCAGAGCCATCTTTAAGCAATGGAAGATGCCAGTTGCAAGAGAGCACGAGGTGATCTCTGGCTCAGAGCTCTCCCCTCTACATTTGGCAGCTATCAGTGATTCTGAGTRCAGTTACAAATCTGGATGGGTGAATTGTTTATTTCCTACAACCACRAATTGAGTTTTTTTAATCTTCTCTCTGCTTTTCTTATTCCCCAGTATTCTTCCCCTTGCTGGTGCAGGGCTTATCTCATTTGAAGGCAACACTAAGATGTCTCCRTGCAGGATCCTAAAGGTGCTGGCAGATTCCTTGAACAAAGAACTCCTCAAACTTCAAATTGCTTTTGTCACAATATTTATCATGAGGAATTTGATTTCCCTTTAGCTACAGGAGATGCAAAGAGAGAAATGAACTAGTAGGTGGAATATCTCATTTTGTATCCTGCAGGGAGACATGCCCTCACAGAGCTGTTCTGTCCAAAAGCCACTCAAAGAGTATGTTTCTAATACAGACCTTATTGATTGAATTTTATTGGAATTTTCCAGGCAGCAGAATGGATCTGCTATTTATGCCTCTGGTTATTATTCTCAGTAAGTGACAGCTTGGACAGCTAAGTAATTCTGGATAAATGTGGGCTTAGATATATATGTATATCATAAGGTGAAGTGTTCCATATGTCTGGAAGTAACACAAGGTCAGTCATTTGAATAAGCTACTTTTGCCCACCTGTTCACACTGGTTTAGCTCAGACATGTCCTTCAGACTTCCAAGTTCTTGGACTTGGTCCAGGGTGAGAGAAGTTAAATAGCCATCAGGGGATTTCACCAAAGCTAGCCTTTGCCATAGCTTTTCCTTTTTTCCTGTTTCTAGTCTCCAGACCATCTTTAAAGGTGTCCCTAAGCCTCTCTATAAGCCATTATGAGCTGAGAATATGGGGTGGCAATTCTACCCCTCTCCTGATGTAGCTATAACCGTCCCTTTCTATGTTAATCCCACAAAAACAACCCCTGCCACMCTTCTTTGTGGCATCCCTGCAGGAATTTTGTCTGTTTGCAGTTCCACCTCACTCCCTCACTTTACCAAAGGAGAGCTTGACAATTCCTGTTTTATCTCTAGCAGCTCCTTACTGCAAGCCCTGAACTGGGCCATGCCATGGCTAAACCAGGTGCTACCAAGTGAAAAAGCAGCTTAGGGAGAAAACAGATTGAAGGAAGTTAAGTTTGAAGTTGTGGATATGGGGACAGTGAGTTTGGTGTAGAAGGCAGAGACCAGGAGCTCTGTGGGACCCTCAGCTCCCTGCAG